CATCCATTTTCTTCCTCCCACTTTTTACCGTCGATCGTGAAATTTCACGAGAATTTCCTCTATCGACGTCAGAGGAAAGTTAGGGCTCGTTACCGTAATCATGCCGGCTCGTTATCGGGACGAGGCCGATCGACCTCGACCTCGTGCGATTTGGTAACCGGGGTCGATCGGAAGGTCTCACCCAGAGAAGTCACCTTCGACCTAGAACCTATCGATTCCCTTTGAGCCTCCGATTCTTCCTCGCAAACGCGTGCCGCCTCGTAATAACATATAATTCTCCCTAACTTGGGTAACGAAGGTGACATTACAGAGATGGGGTAATTTTATTTCTATTTATTGCGCCATCGAAGTAATCAATGATCGAGTATGTAGGTTTACGTGGGCATTTTTTATCAGTCGGTGTCCTTCGTCTCGTAGGACCTCCTCGGGTTCGATAGCTGACTCGGAAAACAGGACATCCCTCCATTGAGAAAAAAGTGTCATTGGACTAAGGAAATAGTTAATTAATTCAAAGAACAACTATTTCACTCGAATAAACTCGATTAAATTGGATGCATTCGGGATTACGACTAAGTCAAATAATTATCCTTGGAATTGACGAAACATTTCTTTGGTTAAATGAATCTTTGTTCTCTCTCTCAGGGTGGCTTCGTCAAATGTTACTGTATGACTTTCTTTGGTAACAACTAATTTAGGGTAAAACTTAACTCGGATGATGTCATTACGGAGACGGGGTAATTTTCCTGCAATTTCTTGGGGCATTGGGATGACCAGTGATTGCGAGTGTGAATTTACAGGGGCATTTTTTGTCAGGGTTCTTGGTCTCGTAGGACCTCCTCGGGTCCGATGGCCGACTCGGAAGACGGGACACCTCTGGCTGACAAAGACTCTGGCCCAAGTCCAAAGACTCCAGTCGTCTTCCCCTTTCCCTCGTTCCTGACTAAACCGGGCCGCGAACTCTACTTCGAGTACTCGAAGAAACGCTGACGAAGACACTCGAGTAGCAAACTCGGACGCGCGGGTTCCGTCGACGAGGAAGAGAGAGAGAGAGAGAGAAAGAAAGAGAGCTTCTGCTCCCGGAAATTGGGATGCTTTTCCTGGGTGAGGATTTCCCTGGAAATGGGTTTTTTGGCCGAGGGAATCCTTAGACTTTTTTTTTTCCACACCTTTTTTCCAATCGTGGACGTTGCCGCGTTTGCCCTAAACACGCATCTCCACCGATAAACGTTGATATAACGTCGATATAACGTCAATGGCGATGAAAAGAAATATGTCCGATCCTCGAAATGCGTTTTTCATTGAGAACCCGATGCGGAAAAGCGTCTTTTCGTCGGCGGGCACGTTCGTCGATGGTCTCGCGTCGTTTCGGTCCGTTTCGGTGGCGGCGCCCGGCGTCGCGACGCTAGCATCGATCCGTTCACTCTCACTTCTGCTCCTGGCTCGTCCCTCCCTCTCTCTTGCGCCTCCCTTCTCCCGGGTGCCTCCGTCTCCGTTTTCTGCCCTCTTCCGCTCTACCTCCGATGGCCGCGTGCTCCAGCGTTTCCCTCGACTCTTCCGTTAGGGAAAATCCAAACGAGATTTTTTCATCGCTGTTACGTTGGTCGAGCGTCTTTAAATTTATGGATCCTCTGGAATTTTTCCCGCCGTTCGTCGATATCTTGAAAAAGACCGAATTTTGGTGACCTCGAGGTTGCCGTTAAATTCCCGGCACGCATCGCGCTTGTCGTTGAATTATCGGCATGCATCGCGCATGGGCTCCGATTTACTCGAATTATACCACACTTAAATTTACTAGTCCTTTAGAATTTTGCTCGCCATTGGTCGATATCTTCAAAACGACGGAATTTGGTGTCCTCGAGGTTGCTGTTAAATTCCCGGCACGCATCGCGCTCGTCGTTGAATTATCGGCATGCATCGCGCATGGGCTCCGATTTACTCGAATTATACCACACTTAAATTTACTAGTCCTTTAGAATTTAGCTCGCCATTCGTCGATATCTTCAAAACGACCGAATTTTGGTGTCCTCGAGGTTGCCATTAAATTCTCGGCACGCATCGCTCTCGTCGTTAAATTATCGGTATGCATCGCGCATGGGCTCTGACGATCGACACTCGAATTACACCACACCTTCCTGCCCTGACCTAGAAATGAAAAACTGGGCGCGCCTACCGTTACCTGCTTTCTTCCTACGACTCGATGTCGATTAATTATCGACGGTCCCCCTCGAGACGCGTCGAAAGCATTTACGACGCCGACGCTTTCGTCGCCGCTCGTGGAAGAAGTCGCGCCGACGGCCAGTCGGAGCCAATTTAGGGTTTGAACCTTATCGTACCTTATAAGAGCACTCTGCGATGTTACAACGATAACTCCATAGATCCAATTCATGGATCGCGTGCAATAAAAATTTTTTTTTGTTTTTTTTTTCCGTTTCCCGATTTTCCAAAAGATTTGAGGTCTCTTCGGGTTTCCCCGGGCTCCTTCGGGCTACCTCGGGTTTCCCCGGGCTCCTTCGGGCTACCTCGGGTTTCCTCGCGCTCCCTCGGACTCTCCTCGCTCTCCGCTCGCATTCCCTAATATGGCTAGCCGCGTTATTCTTAGCCGGGCGAGCTCACCCGAGCGCCTCCGGAAACGGCCGAAGTACGTGGTCGTGCCGGCGGCGCCGACGAACGCCCTCGGGATTTCCATCCCGAGTTTCCCGAGACGCGGCGGCGCCCTTCCCGAGCTACGTCGCTGGAAATAAGGCCCCTCGGTGACGAGCTGCGCGCGCACGCCTCCGAAAGCGCGCCAACTCGGCCCGATTCAAAATCGGCCGATCGCGAGTCGCGATGTTTTCCCGTGTCGAATCTATACCCCCGGCGAAAAGAAATCTGGTTCGTCGAACTTAAGTCGTTACTCTACATTTCATTAAATACAGTTTGTCAGAATATATCTCTTTGGCGACGTTCCAAATGTTTCTTCGTCATAGTTCGAATATTTCCTTGGTGCCACTCAAAGAGATATTCGGTTCAATGAAGCTTTATTCATTCTGCGCGATTCTTTCCGCGAGGCGATCCTCGAACTCGGGATTCAAGATGGCCGCCAAAAAGCCAAGATAGCCGTTCCAAATATTTCTTCGTCACAGTTCGAATATTTCCTTGGTGCCACTCAAAGAGATATTCGGTTCAATGAAGCTTTATTCATTCTGCGCGATTCTTTCCGCGAGGCGATCCTCGAACTCGGGATTCAAGATGGCCGCCCCGGTCCACCCGACCTTCCTCCTGGTATCGAATCCCGATATCGAGAGGCTATTGTTAGATCGGTCTCGCGAAAGGGTGGAGCGCGTCGGCCCGGCAAAAGGGCGCGTCCGTCAACCCGGTCTTCTATTCCTGGAGGGATCCTCCTCTCGGTAGAGCGCACTTCCGGCATCGGCCTTAAATTTCCTTCCCTCCTTCGCGTCGATCCGAGGAAACGACCGAGTCTCCTCCAGGTTCCCCTGCTTCCCTCGATTTATTACGACCGAGGAGACGCGCGTTCCTCTTCCACCTCCCGACGTCCGACGCGGAAGCGTTTCGAGGGTGCATCCCTTCCTCTCTCTAGATCTCTGTCGGGATTTTCGCGATCTCCCGGGTGCTCTTCGACCGACCATTTGAGTGCCGCGCTCCGATCTCTGGATATACCCGCGAGCCTTGGCGTCGCGTCTAATATTACAGGACGTACCGAAATAAAGCGCACTCTCCCGAGTTACCGACTCCGTATGGTGGTTCGTCCCCGGTCGGCGCGTTTTCCAGTTTTTCCCCCTCCCGCGAGATATCCCCAGGAGATAGCGAATTGATTAATATTGCCGGATGTTGGCGACTGGCGCATGACTTCCTCCTGCGACTTTCCTTTCTGGACGGCTCGTACGCGTCGACTAGCCGACGAGGATCGTCCGGGAGATCGATCTCTCGGCCGACTTTCTCCTACCCCGGAACGCTTCGTCGCATCGTCCGGTCGGAAAGGGAAAATCGAGTTTACCTCGTCCTTCGACCCGGAAAGGGGATCGATTCGACCCTTGAGAGGGTCCTGAGGGAGGAGACTCCTCGAGGCCACCCCCTGGGCAGGAGATTTCCGCTCTGCGGAAAATCCACCGCAGGCTCAGGGTGTACTTACTTTGACAATAACCCGAGATCCAGTTCTCGACTTCTTGGGGTTGGGATTTCGTTAATGGATATTTTTTTGAATTGACCGACTTTTGATACTTTTATTTTTTTTTTATTCAGCGGTCCTCGCTTCTGGTATCTCCCTCAGCGATTATAATCCTCGTCGAGCGTTTTCCGCAATTTTCCACCCTTATCGGGTGATATCGAATCCCGTGGTCGGTGTCGTTCGATCGCACCTACGTCGCGTGTCGTCGCACGTGCGAGGGTAATCGTCGGGAAACGACGTGTGGCGTCGTCACCGGCGTTCACTTAGCTATTTTTAGCCGATTCGCGGTATCCTAAGTGCGCGAACCGCAAAGCGCGACCGAGTTATGCGATATGCTTTAGGTTACGCGAGACGAGGCGTCGCGTAATCGCTTATCGGAGGCGCCGACCGGCGTCCGGCGTCTCGATCTGAAATCCGACGTCTTCGACCTCGTCGGCCCTTCCGCGGTCGGGAATAGAAGAAATAGAAGGATTATAGAAAAGATGGCCTTAATATCTCGCCGCGATTTCGACTCTCTCTCTTTCCGTAGCTGACGTATGTTTTTGTCTACCTTTCAGGTCTCGCCGGCGCGGGAGGCGAAGGAAGCCGAAGACCTCTCGTTTCGCCCTTAAGGTGCGTCGAGCATGTCGGCATGAGCACGTAGGGAGAGTCTGCAGCGCAAGCGCGACGAGTTTGGACGCAGTCGGACGGTAGAAGGAGGCGGGACGCCGGGACGAGCGCGGAAGAGGCGATGAGGCAGCCGGCGTCAGGCGCGGTCGGCGCGGCGCAGGCTCGGAGGCCGCAGGCCCAGGCGGCGCGGTCGGCGCGGCTCGCCGGCCGCCAGGCGGCCTGAGCCATGCCGGCCGTGGGATCGAGTCTGGAGGCGCAGCTACAGCTGGCATCGGGGTCTTCCCCGTCCCCCAGGGTCTGCGCGACTCGGCGAGACCTCTACGTCCCGGCGACCGTGGACCCGCGACCGGGACGAGCGATCCACTGTCCCGACCTGAACGCTTGTCTGGTGAACGAGGGTCGGCCCCCCGAGGACGAGGTGGACTGTCGGGCGGTCCACTACGGGTACGCGATCCCGGTTAGCGTCCTGCCGCTCCCGGAGCGTCCAGAGTTAGCCGAGTTGGTCCTGGACCCTTCCCCCGGGTTGAGCAGTCAGGCCGTCGACTACTTGCTGGACCGACATCCCCAGCTGCGCCGACGACCGGCTATGGCGGCCACCGCCAAGCCCGACCTCAGGAGGAAGTTCCCCGCCGAGTCGAACGGCGAGGAGGACATCGCGGCCATCGCCAAGCAGATCAGCGACCACGCCGAGGCGATCTACCAGACCTGGAAGAGCCGCGGCCTGGCGCCCACCGAGATCCTGACCTGCCACAGCAACGCCACCGCCGCGGACAAATTCGGCAGCGCCCTGACCCCCGCCCCTGGCGCCAAGCCGACCTCCTCCTCGACGACGACCGTCGACCTCCTCACCCGGGCGCCTACCTTGGATAATAATAATCTGGAGAAGCTGGTGAATAACTTCGTGGTAGAGGACAAGGCCAGGATGGCCGTCACTCGGCAACGCTCGCCCTCCAAGACCCTGCCGTCCTCTATCCAGTTCGCCCTGCAGAAGTTCGAGCGGAACACTCCGCAGACCTCGCCCACGAGGACCGGCGGTATCGCGAAGACCCAGTCGAGGTCGGTCGCGTCCCCTCTCTCCCCTGGGGCGACCTCCCCGACCAAGCCGGCCCCGAAGACTCCGGGTCTTCGGCACAAGGAGGTCTTCCTGGAGACCATCGAGACCACCTTCCCGAACGACCTGACCAAAATCGTCGTCCAGCAGAAGAGGCCCGATGACGGGAACGTTACCTCGGGCCTCGCCACCTGGCCCCTGAAGAACAAGATGGCCGACGCCAAGAAGAGCAAGGGAGGTGGACAGTCCCCCGAGCCGAAGACCCCGACCGAGGAGAAGAGGTACTCCGCGTCGTCCCTTAGGGTTGGAGACTCCAACTCCAGCGCGTATCTGGACGAGGTTGCCAGGGAGGAGGAGAGGCTCATAAACGCCCTGAAGACCGGGGCCCTGATCGCCGAGGAACCCTCCGACTCGACCAAGACCACCGGGTTGCTCGCCAAGCAGAAGCCCGCGATCAAGAGGGAGAAGCCCAAGGTGGAGGTTGTCAAGCCCATCATCCTGGGCCAGAGCATCGTTGCCCCGAGCTCCCCCGACCTGGAGAAGTCCCTGACCAAGGAGGACCTCACCGCCATGTCGGTCGTCGACTACGCCAAGGTCCGGTACAGGGCGGCCCAACGCACCCCGGCTACTCAGGAACAGAGGAACTCCCCGGGTTTTGGTGCCTCCGAACGGCTGGTTTCCGCCACCAGGACCAAGTTCGAGCCACCCCTTGGGGGCAAGGAGGCACCTAAGGAACCCTCGAAGGACGAGAAGGACTTTGCCACTTCGAGGTGGGGTCCTAGAATCAACTCCTCGCCTAGACCTAGACTGGAACAGGTTCCTCATCCCGAGCTGACTACCCAACAGAAGCAACACATCCGCGCCGCCGCCGCTACCGGGACGGGGAACAACCCCGTCAGGCCTTTCCTCACCAGAGGATCCGTCGCCGAACGCGTTCTCATTTTCGAGAAGTGCCCCAGCGAGCTTCTACTCGACAAGCGGGGCCCTCGTCAGCCCGCCGTCAGTACCTGGAGGAACGGCCACGAGGTCCAGAGCAAGGCACAGGTAAAACCTCCAAGGACTCTCCGCCACCTGGAATCGCCCGTCCTCTTCCCCGCCTTGCGTCCCGAAGAACGGAGACGTCCTTGTCATTACTAAACCAACCTGCGGAAAACGGATGCGGAATTCCGACCGTAGGATTACAGCGATACTTGTCTTGGGCATCGGCGAATTGCGCTTCTCTGCTCCAGGGGGTGATCCCGGAGACCGTCGACGGTGAACGATTCGCGGGGGGGGAAAAAACAAACCCACGCGGAATCCGTCGTGGCCTCTTTAGCCACCGTTCGCGGAACCGACTTGGTCGGCGTCCAAATTCCCTCCCGAGGACTCGGACAGCCGAACCTCGTCTTGGTTTCGGGTTCGAGACCTCACCTTGCCCATTCGTGGTCCTTGGACCGATGACGACTGAACGATCAGACGATTATTAAAATACAATTAGGGAATATCCAGAAGTTCCTGTCGTTGGTCGGGCGAAATAATTATCAATCAAGACGGGACGCGGAATTCAATTCCGTCGAACTCGAGGAACATGGGTAGGGAAAATCCACGTTTGCGGATAAACGCCGGGATGCGGATAAATCCAACGAAGGCCAAAGCATTTGGGCTAGTAGGATTTTTTTATTCGGAATTCCGAGGAAATCCAAGAAATTTCCAGGAATTCCAAGGAATTTCCAGGAATTCCAAGGCCCTCTCGGGGAACATCTACGGGTGGCGATTAAAATATACCCGATCGATAGATCGTTAGACACCGGCCGACCCTGAACTATGCCAAACTCTGGTGAACTATTAGGCCAAGGTACCGGAGACCCCGAAGAGTCCGACCTTCGCATTGACTGTTTCTTTTCTTGGGTCGCGATATCTATTAACGAATTCAACAGCGAATGCCAATCTACTTTTGATCGGCCCCTTCGGGACCGAGGGTTATTTATTAATTGCGTGTCCAATAAAAGAGTCCTTCTTTGGCCACGGTCAGTCGTTCGATTTTCACGTCGGCCTTGTTTATTAATAACGGGTGGAAAATGTTGAAGGGGTAATTGAATTACGATCGGGATCTATTGTCTTGGACGGGGACCGACGGTGGAGGAAGAACGCGTGCCGGTTTGTCGTTCGGAAATGGCCGAGTCGGTTGCGGCCGTTCCTTAACGGGCGTTCCTTAACGGGCGTTGAGAGAAAGCCGGCCGAATGGCGCGCTGGCGAGTGGTATCCTGGAAATCGCGACAAAAGTCTAATGGCAAATGCCGATATGGCCGCGAAACGCGTCTCGGTTAGTCGGCAGGTGGACGCGTTTTCTACGCAGGACCGTTCACCGTCCTTATTTCGACGGAATCGCGGATAGCTGGCATGGCGTAGGTGAGGAGAGCCCCTAAAGGCATCAGAAGGTTGTTCTAGGTTGCCCAGAAGGAGAATACACGTAGAGGTCCTCTCGAGGGGGGAGAAATCGATTCCGAAAGCGGCGACGAGGATGACTCTCGTTAAGGCGACACGAAAGTGCCATCCGATCGTTTGCGACATTTTTCAGTGCGGACGGCGGACCGAATCGGCTGGGAGATTACCAATAAAAAAGCTCCGTGAAATTTTCCAGCTTCCTGTATGTTTTATTTATATTTCTTAATATTCCGGCCAGATAGCCTCCTTATTCGGGTGGCGGTGTCTCGGACGATTCGGTACGCTCTGTTCTTTCGTGTCACCTTCTGCGGCGCCTTAAGGTGATATGAAAGGGTCATTTTACAGGTTTTTTTTTTCTTTTTGCTGTAAATGGAATTTCATGACCATCGCGCTCCTCCTTGGAGACTCTGTAATCACGTGTTAATGTTTCTAATGGCTCGGTGCATCCAGTTTGGAGAAAAATCTTTTAAATACTTTGATGGTCTGATATGTGGAATGACGGTTTCGTATCACCTTAAGCATCCGATCGCGAACCTTGACCGTAGTCGTTTGACACTCATGAAACTAAACGAACGTTCTCTCTCGGTCGGCCCGAATTCCTGGCCTATTCTTTCTCGACGATAAGGCTCGCCGATAAGACCCGAGAGAAAGGCAAAGTTGACCAACCGCGTGCCTTCTGCTCGCCGGGGAAAATAACGCCTCGGACGATCGATCGTTAGCCGTTAAAGGCAAACCGAGTGACCGTATTCGATCAGCCGCGATTTTACCCTTATCGGCGTCCACTGTCAACAAATAGTTCCTGACTTACGCACCGAGGTTAAAACTGATTTAAAGGGCCCTTGGGTACGCGTAAAAAGCAGAAAATAATTCATTTTTTCATTGGCCACGATTTTTAGCGCCACGTGTTCATTCCCTTATCAGCGTCCACTGTCAACGAATAGTTCCTGACTTACGCACCGAGGATAAAACTGATTTAAAGGGCCCCTGGGTACGCGTTAAAAGCAGAAAATAATTATTTTTTTCATTGGCCACGATTTTTAGCGCTACGTGTTTATTCCCTTATCAGCGTCCACTGTCAACGAGTTATTCCTGACTTATTGACTCTGAGGTTAAAATTGAATTTCTTTCGCTTTTTCGTGAATTTCATTCGCTAAGTCCCTTATCAGCGCTCACGGTAATCAAATAAAAAATTGACCGTGTCGCGTGGCGTTTAATTGTAATCATTCCCGCGTTAATTACGACACTTTGCACGATCTTGACGACCGACATCGGCCATTTGTGACGATTTATTTTTTGGCCGCGCAATTTTTTTTTTTTTCTTTTGGCTACTGTCGTCAGTTCGATGTCAAACTAAAGGCGCGGTCGAATTTGACACGTCAATTTGTGACGGTTCATTTATTGGCCGCGCAATTCCTTTTTTTTTTCTTCTTTTGGCCAGTGTCATCAATTCGATGTCAAACGAAAAACGCGGTCACGTTATTTTGTGATGGTTCATTTATTGGCCGCGCAATTCCTTTTTTTTTTTCTTCTTTTGGCCAGTGTCATCAATTCGATGTCAAACTAAAAGCGTGGTCAAATTTGACACGTCAATTTGTGACGGTTCATTTATTGGCCGCGCAATTCCTTTTTTTTTCTTCTTTTGACCAGTATCGTCAATTCGGTGTCAAACTGAAGGTGCGGTCAAATTTGACACGTCAATTTCTGACGGTTCATTTATTGGCCGCGCAATTTCTTTTTTTTTTTTCTTCTTTTGGCCAGTGTCGTCAATTCGATGCCAAACGAAGGGTGCGGTCAAATTTGACACGTCAATTTGTGACGGTTCATTTATTGGCCGCGCAATTCCTTTTTTTTTCTCTTCTTTTGGCCAGTGTCGTTAGTTTGATGCCAAACGAAGGGCGCGGTCAAATTTGACACGTCAATTGACCGTGATCGATATTGTCCGCGCCAGGCCATCGTGGCGTGTCGATCGATCACGCGCCACTCGTTCGGCGACATTCGATGCAAACGTCATTCGGTGTTCCATGGGAAACATTCGCCCTGGTTTGTTAGCGCAATATCGTCGCGGCCATGCGGCTGGAATTGCCGCCGTTCGGACAATGGGTAGAAAGTAGTCGTTTGGCCGTGCCTGGTTCACCCACGCACAGTTCGCGATAATTTTGCTGGTAGTTCACCAAGCCGACGAGTCGTAGAAACGTCATTATACCCTGATAAAAGTGTCCATGTATTTTGACACAATTGGTTATTTCGATAGCCCGCTTAGTTGCGTTAAAATCACATTGTCCCTGACATCGCGTTGAGCATGCGAGTTGAGTTGAAGGAAACATTAAATTCATTCAAGTGAAAATACCCTAAGCTGGACATACAACGCTACGTGTATTTACACGTTCCCCTAAGATGTAATTTTTTCCATTGTTCTACTATGGGGTCTGTAAAAAAATATATGTTAATGTTTCACCGACCTTTGTCGGCGCGTACGACTTGAACTCCACCTCGGGCGCTCGAGATGGATTAATAAATTTCAATTTACAGGTTGCTATTTGCAATTTACCGCTCATTATCGCCGATGTTTTCGGAGAAGCGTGTCGACTCGAGAGGGCTGTCGATCGGTCCCGGTAATGCGTATTTATTACACCTGTAATTCTCCCGCGTAGCGGAACTCCGCAATTCTCTGGAGACGTTTACGGCCGTCGATGCCCGATTCCTCCGCATTCCGGCGCGTATTGGCCGAGGTTATTTCCTAGGCGCATGCAAACCGACGCTTGAAAATGATTTATACCTGATTTTTCGACCATTGGAATCCACGATTTTCTGGCCGAGTAACCTCTGTCGGGCTGGGTGAACCTGGAATCCAGTTCGAGGCACAAACAAAATGAACAGGCATCCCGGAATGTTTCCGTGACGTGCCATGTTTGAATTTTCTTCACTGCCAAGGACTACTCCTGTCGGTCCGATAAAATTCTCAGCATAAGTACTTCCCCCGATTTACTAGCAGAAATTAATGCAAGCCGCTGCGAGAAGCCTAAGTCGTGGATCACGATTTTGAGGTTCTGGGAGGCTCCGAAGGTTCCTAACGTCAGAGAACCCATTACAGTCGAAAAATCCAAATTCTGCCAAGGACTACTCCTATCGGTCCGAAAAAATTCTCAGCATAAGTACTTCCCCCGATTTACTAGCAGAAATTAATGCAAGCCGCTGCGAGAAGCCTAAGTCGTGGAAAAAAAAATATTGAAAATGGTCATTATCACGATTTTGAGGTTCTGGGAGGCTCCGAAGGTTCCTAACGTCAGAGAACCCACTAGAGTCGAAAAATCCAAATTTCCACGATTTCGAATTTTGTTTATCTTTTTGAACAGCTCTGGTTTTTGTAAAAAAAATGCTAGAAACAAAACTCAACATGGCATAAATATCTACATCGCGGAAATATTCCTATAAGCCTGTTCATTTTGTTTGTGCCTCAAACTGGATTCCGGGTTCACACGGCCCCTCTGTCGCTTAATTAACCGGCGATTTCTACGCCGTCTAGGGCAAACGGGGGAAAAAAAGTCCCTAGAGGATTTTAAACGTCATCGAGCTGGGATATCACACGCGGCCTGCCACGTTCGCAACGTCTGCACCCGTGATGTAATGGACTGCTTGCACTCGGCAGGGCGCGGCAAGCGCATTAACTCAACCTCCGCAGGTTTCCTTGCATTCCTCGAATCCCTCTTACGGCATCACCAGGACACCACGTCCTTGAAGAGGCGTTTCGCGACGATCGCGATGACTTTTAGCCGAGACGGAGTCGCCTTAGAAAGACTCCATCCGTTAGGAATTACCGGGCAACCTGTGATAATTCATATCGCATGACCGGTGCACTGACAATGAGAAAAGAAAAAATCATTTCCCTGGATAGTGCCGATTCATATCAAGTAACAATGTCTCGACATGTCTCGGACATTCGTTATCGTGATACTCCCAGAACTCCCGTTGAAATCCCGCGGTAGGTTCGCGCTGATAAGGGGGTATCGTTACATGTCGGCTTATCGTAACCTTTCCGCCGTTTTCGGAGTCCCCATTGCCGAAACGCGGTTTTTTCAACTGAGAAAGGAAAAAATGATTTTCCCGGATAGTGCCCATTCATATCAAGTATCAATGCCTCGACATGTCTCGGAATTGATTCTGTGATATTGTTCCAAATGGCACACTCCACCTGTCGTTTTCGTACAATAAATATCAAGAAGTCGAAGTAAAACTCCAGAAATCCTCTGGATTCATGATTTCTGGAGCCCTAATTGACTGTAGAGGGACCCCCTGCGCCATCTGTGATTTCCAGGTCAATTAAATTTTCACTCCGAGACCTCGTATTACCATCGTTTTAGCATAGAAGCGCATACAACACTTTTTTTGCCTTTATCCCGTACAAATGCGAGTTTATCGATTACTAGAGTGTTCTAAATTGTCGTCAAATGATGTGTCAAAGTTTCGGACAATTTGGTCTAATACCCTTAAAAAAAAGTGGTGTATTCGAATCGACTGATTTGAAGGGAGTTTAACATCGTCTTAAAGTGATTTCATATCGAAATGTCGGGAGTAAATGGTGTAAATGGCTTAAAAAAAAAAAAGTAAATGGCTTAGGGTTAGCTGCAAGTGGTTGACCATTGTTCCTCTGTTTCAGACGTATGTGCGGGACAAGAGTCAACAGAAGGGCTTGCCACCTCACACGACACTTCAAAGACACGTCAAGGCGAACAGAAATGTCCACATACCAAGGTACTTTGACTTAATTTAATACCTCGCCCTCGAGTCAAGCACAGACATGGATTACACCCTTATCACTCCAAGAATATTAGAAGAGCGTAAAAAGTTGGCAGTATTACTTTACTTTGGAGTGATAAGGGTTAAGCCTGAATATCGAAATCGGCTCTGGGAAAGAAAAGAATACCTTTCCAAACAATACCTTGACCACTTAAGCGAACTAGATAAACGTCTTTGTGGCTCGAGCAAGACTCGAGCCTGCACTTATGATGTAACAACGTGACGTAAATGCACTTTACGCCTGAATAAGAAATGTCGCGATTCGAATATAAGCTCCGGAGTTGAGTAAGGTCGGAAATATACGATTTTCCTTCCTGTCTCATAAGCGGCGTTTCCACGTCGGCTTAAGGTGATACGAAAGTGGCGACCGAGGATCTCGTTTATGAGACTTTTTTCCAAACCGGGTGTCACCGGGTTTCAAGCTTCATTACGCGAATATGTATGCCATATATGTAAGATTTAAAGTGATATGAAAGGGTCATTCTATATACATAAAACCTGAAAACATTTATAAAACTTCTCAAACTGGGCCCGCCGAAGAACTTTTGAAACTTTAACACGTGATTATGGAGACTTAAGCAAGAACGGGATGCACGTGAAATTTCATTTTTAACAAAACAAAAAAATATGTGACTTGGTGCTAGCCTAGGTTAATTTATAAAATTGTTGTGGGAAGAAGATGTCATTTCAAGGGTTTACGTTTCGAATGATTCGGTGCACACGGTTTGGAGAAAGGTTTTATATAAATATTTTGACGTTTTGTGTATGTAGAATGATCCCTTAATATCACCTTAATACTGATATAGAATTGCTCAACAAAGGCCACTTTCGAATCGCCTTAATGTGGCGCGCGGTCGACGGTATCGTAAAATGTCGTTAAAACGAGTTCCTCTCTACAGGTTTTACTTTCCTGGTGGAAAACCGGCGCCTCTGTCCCAGGTTGAAGCCACCATTGCGAAAATCACCGCGGCTTTCCAGAGCTTACCTGGCCATCGAGCTTCTCGTACGCAATTTCATGCCATCGCTAAGGTACGAAGAGAAAGAAAGACAGTACGCGATTTTGTAGCTATTCGAATCGGAGGACGATGAAAATGAAGATATAATGCTTCCTCCATTACATCTAGCAAATTTTTTTTTGTAAAAGTGTTGAAAGCGTAGGCTAAACGAAGAAACCTCGAGTTGTCGTCGCACGGGGGTCCTGAATTTCCCCGGGGGAATTTATTTACCTTCGGACACTTGCCGAGCATTTTGGGGGCCATTGAAGCGAGCCATTTATGTTCTCTGCTGATGGGAACGAGATTAAGTAAGAAATTATCCCATCGGCTGGTCTGACGGATATGTTTGTTTTCCTTTAGGCCTGCGACCTGCCGCTCTATTGGAAGGTACCGCTGTTCCTCTCTGCTGGTGGCGAGCAGGATGGATTCCTCGAGATGAGCTCCTTCCTCGATTTCTGGAAAGAGTAGGCACACATACTGACACTTTTACGCGAGATACGAGTAATGGATAATTAAGGTGATACCAAAGTGTCTTATATACGTACCAACAAGTGAGATACTTATTAAACTTTTCTCCAAATTGGCTGCACCGAATCATTTGAAACTTCATCGCGAGATTATAGAGGCCCTAAGGAAGAACGCGATGCGCGTGAAATTTCATATTTCGAAAAAACAAAAATTATGTTCATCTCGGAGAAGAACCAAAAAGAGACATTTTTTTTTTTTCGAAAAATGAAATTTCACCAACGTCGCGTTTTGACTCAGGGCCTCCATGATCTCGGGATGAGGTCTCAAATTCATTCGGTGGACCCGATTTGGAGAAAAGTTTTATAAATATTTTCACTTTTTGGTACGTATATATGAGACTTTGGTAACACTTTAAGGCGAAATAATAAAGATGGTTGCAACTCGTGCAATTGTGTCCCCTCTCATATTTCAGTTTGTCGAACGCCCATCACGATGCGGCCAGCAAATTCGTGAGGATCACCACCCGAGGTCTCAGGACCAATATCCTCCCCGAAGATTTGATCCCCCTTGTCCAGGACGTGGTGGAGACGCATCCTGGATTGACCTTCCTCAAGGAAGCCACGGAGTTCCATTCCCGCTACGTGCATACGGTTGGCCTCCTCGTACCGCTCCTGATAACGCGATTAAAGGACTATCATATATAGGAGTTTGCCTGGTAAAAATCGGAGGATCAACGGTTTTTACAGGTGATCGCTAGGATATTCTATTGCGTAAATCGAAGCTGGAGCGGGAAGATCTCCGTGTCCGAGTTGAGGAGGAGCAACCTCCTCTCGGTCATCGGGATCCTGGAGCACGAGGAGGACATCAATCAGGTTACCGCGTACTTCAGCTACGAGCACTTCTACGTCATCTACTGCAAGTTCTGGGAGCTAGATCGAGACCACGACCTCTTCATCGACAAGATGGACCTGACCAGGCACAACGACCACGGTAATTCTCCCGTGGATTAAAGAATAGGGATAATTTTAAGGTGATGCGAAAGTGCCGTAGAAGATCTCTGTCGTTTATTAAACTCTCCTCCGAGCTGACAATTCTAAGATGATCAGGAATGATGTGTCAAAGTTTCGGACAGTTTGGTTTGGTACCCTTAAAAAAAAGGGTTGTATTCGAATCGACTGATTTTAAGGGGGTTTCACTTCACCTTAATACGGAGGCTGGAAGGAAGGTCCTAACACCCATGAAATTTCATTCTTCTTTTTTTTTTTAATGTAAATCTGTTTATAAACATTTAAAAGTTTCTTTTCATGAACGATTGAACTCGCAAGTGGCACTTTCACGTCCCCTTAATTCCCTAAATCGCGAGGCGAGTGATGGTAGGAATTTTCAACCTTTTACAGCTCTCTCGACACGCATGATCGAAAGAATATTCAGCGGGGCGGTGACAAGAGGAGGAGTGAGAGGCGGAAGTGGCGCCCAACAACCGGAAGACAAAATGAGTTACACGGAATTCGTGTGGTTTCTGCTCAGCGAGGAGGACAAGAATCATCCTACCGCTGTCGAGTATTGGTTCAGGTGCGAAGAAACATTTTTCCGTTTTTTTTATTATTTTTTTTTTTTAGTTATTGCGGCATTGTGTTACGAGAACTGCGTTTCGTTTGACGGTCTGGAAGAATGTCTCAAGTCCAGGAGTAATTTTCTCAACGACACGTAGTCGGTCTAACGATTTCATTCGGAGCACATCCGTTCCTTCTCGTAGGTGTATGGATTTGGACGGTGATGGATATCTGTCGATGTACGAGTTGGAGTACTTTTACGAGGAGCAATTGCACAGGATGGAAGCGATAGGCATGGAGACTCTACCGTTTGAAGATTGTCTCTGTCAGGTAGGTATCCACCAGCGTTGAAATAACAATATACGGAATGCTGCACCGAGAGAAAGGATTCCATCGAACCAGGGAGATACATTATGCCTTGAATTAATAAAAGATTTCTTTGGTTCGGTGGATTTCTTTTGTCTTAGCGTACGATGTTGCACCATCTCGAGCCTTGCACTGACCCGCTGGGAATTTTTTTATTCAGATGCTGGACATGATCCATCCGGCAACTCCGGGAAAGATTTCCTTGAGCGACCTGAAGAAGTGCAAGATGACCTCGATCTTCTTCGACACCTTCTTCAACCTCGAAAAGTACCTTGACCATGAACAAAGGGATCCCTTCGCATCTGCACGGGATCACGACGCGGATGGCCACGAGGTGAGACTTCTTTTGGTACCTGAAGTCATATCCAGCCTGGCTAAAAAATCCTTAAGACTTTTATTAATAACCCTTTATTTCAGTTGTCGGATTGGGACCGATTTGCGGCCGAAGAGTACGAATTGTTGGTCGCCGAGGAGAGCGGAAACGAGCAGACCGAGCAGATGTAAGTACTCGTAACGACGTAACCCCGGATCATACTTCACAAGTACACGATCTATGTACTGTTCTCCACGATCTTTCACTTCACTGCACCCGAGAGTCAAGCACTGAAGGTCCACTGCTTCGAGAATTAACGACGCGGTCAGAAAGAAGTCACCTCTTCTTTCCTATTTTTTTTCCTCCTTTTTTCTCTAATTTTTCCCTCTTTTTTTTGAGAAAGTCCCACTTTTCTTTGTTACTCCCTAAGCTTTTCTCGAGACTGCAGACGAAGAGAGGAAGTATCGTTCTCTTGCGGGAATTCCATTTATTTCCATATCTTTTCCACGCATAAATTCTTTTACTACACGTCGCGCTAAGTTTTTCTAATTTAAGGTGATATGAAAGTGGTCTTAGAGGGGTCTATCGGTAATGAGACTTTTCTCCGAACTGGGTGTACCGAATCTTTTTAGGCTTTACATTCAATTCTTTTTGCTTAATTTGTTTATAACAAGCTTGTTAGTTTCTCTTAAACGAGTGCCAGGACCTTCCTTAGAGCCTCTAGATCCACGTGGTAAAAATTACAAGGATTCGGTACGGAGGATTCGGAGAAATGTGTAATATAAACGGGACCTCTTCGACTCCACTTTCGTATCCTCTTAAGACCTAAACCGACGACATGTTTAATCCGTGACACGATGCTTAAATTGTCATGATATTATCAGTTGTGTTAGGCCGCGAAGGCAGCCCGCAAAGGACTCTAACGTCTCCCCTTTACAGAATGGTATGATTTCTCTTTCGGTATTGTACTTCGTTTTTGGTTTCCCAATGTCTCTGCGAGGTGGCGACATACTCGCAGACGAAAGCTCCTCTCCAGTTCGGGCTTGCACGTTTAGTTAGTTGTTTTTATTCTCCTCTTTTCTCACGTATAGCTAAGGTTTGGGACTTGCCGATAACCATTTACGCGTCTTTTTCCATCCTTGATCCATTAAGGTGAAGTGAAACCCCCCGTCAAATCAGTCGATTCGAATAAAACACTTTTTTCTTAAGGGTACTGGATCAAACTGTCCGAAACATCGACACATGACTCGTAATCATCTAAAAATTGTCCCGACACATTTCAAAATTTGAAAAAATCAGAAAGAAAAGAATTCAGAGGATTTCTGGAGTTTTACTTCGATTTCTTGATAATTATTGTACGAAAACGACGGGTGGAGTATGCTATTTAGTACAATACCCAATATAATTCGACCCAGCTGTCAATATAAAAACGAACGTCGGCAACGTAGGCATTTAGAAAAATATTCTTTATCGACGTCGATCAAGTTCCTCGACGTGTTTTACTTCACCTTAATCGCAGATCGGTTTCGACGCGCGTTGCACTTTACAAGTCGAAAGATAAGTGCAAACGTTCCAAACTTGGGCTATATTTCTTTATCTTCGGAACCTCGTGTGGTCGATACGATCGATATCTGATTTCTTGCCTGGGAAACCTCCCTATGGATTCTTAATGGCCACTGTGCGATCTGCCTTTGTTGCAGGCTGTGTGATGATGAAATGTAACCATCATCTGCAGCTCAACAAGTAAGTGACACTGACTTGCATGCATCCCCCGTCGAATTGGATGAAAAAGTGAAACAAAGAAATACAAAAACAATAGAAAAAATCAGAAATTCGCGGACTCTTCGAAACAACTTTTAGCCGGATTGCGATACTCTAGTTGTCGGCTTAGTGCTCGAACAACTATCGCTCGAGGCCACTTTGCGTATACCGATTTGTTTTTCTCCTGTAACAATAGCCGAAAGTGTAACGAGAGGGCGATATTGATTACGTGTATAGATGCGTTTGTTAAATAAAAGACAAGCCGAGGGTGATTTTTGCGAAGGACGGATATCGTTAACGTCGCAAACGGCAACCTTCTGCTTTCATGTGAGGCTCTTTTCTGCTTTTTAATTAGTTGCACTCTGTTTATTATAATAATCCAAGGGTATTAACAATGGCAAGAGTACTCGAAGACGAGCCGTCCATGGTTTTGTTAACGCCTCTTTCTTCATTCTTTTCTGGTTTAAACGCCTTTTCTTTTTTTTTTTTCTTAACGCATGCTGTATGACCGATGCACCGCTTTAAGGAACCTTGCCATTTTTTTACATAAATCGTGTTACGTGTTTAAATAAACTCGATAGCAATTCGAAAGTATACATACTGTAAGGTATGGTAAATCTTCCCTAATTAACTTCGCCAGTTTTAATTCACCGATGCACGAGAGCGAGAATAAAAAAAAAAGAAAATGGGAAAAAGAATCAGCGGTTTGACAGCCAACGACGAGTCTGCACCGAGGGAATCGTTAATCCGGTACATTTGTCGTGCCAAAACGTTTTTAGAAAAGACTGGGATTCTCATTTCCGACTTAACGAGTATCTCTAACGATCCGTTGCGGTTGCAGTACTCTTTAGACACCGACTCTTTCCCTTCAGACCTATGTAAGCGTCTGTCGAAAAACATTAAAGGACCTGTGCCTTGTTCCTTCTGTTTTTTTTTTATCGTCCTGACACCTGGGGGTGAAACGGGGGAGAACAATCGATTGATTGACTATCGGTTTCCAGGTCCTACGAGTCCGGGACGGAGGACGTGCTGTCGCCGAATCTGGACGTCCTGATCGGGGATTCAGGAGACCCCCTTCTTCAGGGACATCCTTGCGACGTGACATCCTCCTCCGAGGGTCAACAGGCGAAGAGTCAGACCTATGACAGTGGTGACAGCGACGATTACGCCGAGAGTGACAACTAATCCCTTGATGAAGACGTTGAAGAGTGGAAGATTCGAATCGATCTTCGGGATCCTGGGTCTCGATGGGGTCTCTATCGGTTTCCAGGTCCTACGAATCCAGGACGGGGGACGTGCTGTCGCCGAATCTGGACGTCCTGATCGGGGATTCAGGAAACCCCCTTCTTCAGGGACATCCTTGCGACGTGGCATCCTCCTCCGAGGGTCAACAGGCGAAGAGTCAGACCTATGACAGCGGTGACAGCGACGATTACGCCGAGAGTGACAACTAATCCCTCGATGAAGACGTTGATCAAGAGTCCTGGAGTTTGGAAGATTCATTCGCCGAATCGATCTTCGGGATCCTGGGTCTCGATGGGCTTGAAAGAGACCCGCGAAGCGAGGGATAAGGACACTGGATGGACAATATATACGGAGACGGAGATTCCGCCAAAAATGGCCGTTTTTTGCCTCTGATACTGACGAGATCTTTTAAGATGTAACGAAGGAGGGCAACCTCAAGGAACTATACTTCAACGTAACTTTACGTCCGCTTCAGCTTGTAAATAGGATTTATCGAATCGGTCCGGTCCCCTTGGAGTCGACTCCTGGACTTTACGACGAGGACGCTTCCGCGATGTGGCACCGAGACTAACACGTTAACTACAGACCACTTGCTAGCCCTTAAAACACGGTAACAGGTTTTTAAACTGTAACTTTAATATTTATACCGGGAGTAACGTAGAGAGCTACTTAACAGATGTATCCCTAAGTAGGGGTATTGTGATCTAGGTCGTTAATTAACACCCTTCCAGCCGATTTGAAAGATGGCTTGGAGATTCTTCCACTCTCTCCCAGGAGCTAAGCACGAAGTATTGCAGCCGATTAATGGAAATAGACCAAAGACTCTTCGACAAAGGGGAAATCGACCAGCGATCGGAATCGAGACGCGACTCGATCGCGGATTGAAATCTGACAAAAATTTCGGAATTCAGGTGATACGGTTTTGGTAACATTTCGTACTTCCACGTAATCGAGCGTCGAATTGTGGACCCCTCAGGATGTTGCTTTCACTAGGACGAGGGGATTTTCGTTAAAACGTTAATGAACAATGTGCGAGTGCACTTCGTGTCTCGTATTGAGTTTCAAGATCCGACATCAAGACCGATCAGCATCTCGGGGAATTTATTGTTGATATTTATTGACCCGTTATGTACATTTAAGGGACTCGTTGATGAGATTACTTTCGGTTTTGCGTTTTACGATCAATCTCGAGCTGGACGTTGCGTCACTTGTACTCTTATTATCTTCGCTGGTTCTTCTCGTGAGAAAAAAAAAAGGAAAAAAAAAAGGTATCGTTCTAATTTAAAGACTGGCTCGTTTTATGCCGCGTAGGCATTGTTATAAAGTTACGGAAAGTAGCGACGTGTATCGTTATGCGAATTCCTCGAGGATAGTCGTTAGGCTCATCATGGTGGTAATTCACGTCGCGTGGTCTCGGATTGTTTATTCGATGACTCGTGTATGTACATATTTCGTTAGTTTATCGTTCATTTTCTACCGGTACTTTCGCCGTTAAGCATGGATCCCTCCCAGTTGCGGAAATTGCCGAAACGTTGTCTAGTCCAAAGGTATGAAGGTGCTATGCAGGTCGTGTCGAAGAACGCCGCCATCTTGTCAGTGCCCGAACTTTGTTAATCGGCGGTTAAAAGGAACGAATTAGAACTAAATCGCTAGGAAAAGAAGAAGGAAATATTTACGGAGAGAGTTCGTACAGCTTGGGACATATCGCTTTCCAAAGTGGTCGCAGAAAATTTGACGTTTGCTTAGGATAAGGACCATCCCTTTGCACTTACCCAAAAGGAGTCCCTCAAGGGAGAGACCAAGAAATATCGAGAATCGGTCGTCAGTATTTTTCTAATTAGTACAACGTACGGGGATAGCTGGAAATGATAACTTTTTATACGCCACTTGCCGAGCCGCACAAAAATTCATTTCCCTTTGTTTAATTCCAGTAATTAGTCCTCCGCGAGGCGTGGAAATTAATAACTTTTAAAATAGCAACGCGGCATCGAGTCTCCTGCGAACTCTTTGGGATGCACGAATGTTCCGAAACGTGTAAGCACTTTTCTTCCATAATATATATTATTACGAGGGATTTGCATCCCCTTTATCGAGCACTCGTCAAATTTTGACACGCGTTCAATGAGCGGACATTTATTCGCGATGAATTTACGATAAATTAAGGGCGTATGTTCCAAGATGGAAAACCACAGAGAATTATCGGTGCGATGGGTTCGTTATGTTCTTTTACCGACAGTCCAAAGATGTAATTATACATACAGAGACGTATGTATGCGAAAGTACACACGTACACAGACCTATATATAGTTTGTTATGGTTTTTTACTATTTATACATTTAGGCTTCTATGGCGCCCCAGCTGAGAAGTGGTCATTTATTATTGCATTTGATGGTACCCTTGAATTGTTATATTTATTCATTAGTCTATGATATAGGTTTATTAATGTTCGGGTTATATCGAGCGCTCCTTCACTTTCTCGTTGCGCCGCATTTTTTTTTATTTCAATTTCAATGCATTACATACGTTCATTTCGAATATTCTCGTTCTACTTTCATACGTAACTACTGTTTTCTTGTATATACTTATACTTTACTCCGAAAAAGAATTTTCCATTTCTGAGGGATTTTGCAATTTTCTAATTTACTCTCAATCGAGTTTTCCGATACTTTCATATCATTCCACAATTTTGTGGGTGTTTATTGTCTAGAGGAGTAAGTGCGGCGCAACGTGAATTGCGTGTTTACTGTCTAATGTTTATTACGATTAATAAGTTTACCATTCGTCTTTAATATTTATACATTAATTGGTGCATGCGTAGGGACAGTTTAAGTCATTCGAGGGATGCAGGAAGTCTCGGCCAAATTTGAGAAGGCCTCGTTAATACGTATACAAGATATCAAATCCCAACGACACACGCAAGAATATCAATTTGTCGATCATTTTAACGGAGTAATTATTGCTAAGAAGGTACGGTAGCTTTTTAAATAAATTTCCGAGAATAATGATAGACGCGCTGTCGCTGCTTAAGGCGGTGTGAGAGTCATCAGATCTGTGTCATACTCAATGATCGCTGAAGCCAACCTGGAACCGTGTTATGTAAATATCCACGTACTGTTTACGCGGTCTAAATTTAAAAAAGAATATTTCTTTGACATGTATATTCACACCGCCTTAATACCCCCCTACCCCGAATTCTTTGACATATCAGTCTAACCCGCGAACGATCATTTCGATATCCACCCTCTGCAAGACTCGCGTCCACTTCATCCTTTTGAGATCGCGATTAAGGGGGTGTGAAAGTGCCACCCGAAGGATCAATTCCTAAAAGCTTTTTCTCCGAGCCAGGTGTACGAAATCCTTTGAAATCCCACCCCGTGAACATGAAGGCTATGGGAAAGGTCCCTACACCGATGAAACTCCAAATTTTTTCCAAATTTCTTTATAGACATTTTCAAAAGATTATATGAAAAGAATGAAATTTCCCGGGTGTCGAGATCTTCCTTATGGCGTTCACATTCACGTTCTAAGGTTTCAAAGGATTCGGTACACCCAGTTTGGAGAAAAGCTTCACGATTGACTGGAGATGCCACTTTGATATCCCCTTAAGGGGCTATCCTATTCCCTGTCGCTGCAAACAGGGAACGAGTCATTTGAGCAGTACACGACCCGGTGACAAATTCATTCAAAATGGTCTCCTTGCGACGCAAAGAAAGGTTTTAATCACCTTTATGGACCTTAAGGGGGTAACTTTGGCGTAGTTAGAGGTCCTGAGCGATTTCGCTGTCGATCACTCGAAGGTCGTTGCTAGATGGACGAGTGAAGGGAGTATAAAGTCGAGTATTTTCACGTCGTGGTACAGAAGTTACCGCCGGATGATGGCGCCCCTAGGAGGCGGCCTTAAGGCGCCTCCACGGGCCGCGTATACATTAAGATACGTATTTTAGCTATGTACATTCAATGTCTCCGGATACGTTTTAATACACGAATACGTTTAAACGTATTTAAGCGTGACTCAGGGGTCAATGGTGCCTATATATTGTATGACCCTAAGTGCTAGTCTCCAACGCGACGATAGTGGAGACGGACGGACGATAGTCGACTCGGAGAGAACACCGAAAGTGTTATTCTTCAATTTCTGTTGTTTCCTTCCGACAAATTTCCTGCCTTTCTCCAGTTGAAAATTGTCCACGCGTTATAAACATTGGCAAAAAAAAAAAGTCGGACGGCCTTAAAGCTTCGGATTGACTTTTCATACGCGGAAAGGGGGGACATAAATCGAGAGTAACTCATTGGGAAATATTTTTCTTCGGAGGGTGTTCTACCCCGGAGCACCTTGTAAAAACCTGGCCCGAGGTGAAGATTCGGTCTACGGTCAGGTTATTGGCATGCAGGACGTTAAAGGGTGGTAATGGCTCCGACGGTTCATTCGCGCGGCCATTTTGGAAAAATTGAAGAGTAACGCTTCCCATAAGACCATGTAGAGGTTTAGTGTTATGGCAAAAAGTGGCCCCAAGGGTGAGGAATCGTCGATGGCTCCGAAGAACTCTTTTTAGTATTTTAGTCCACCATTAAGTATGCTCGCCGAAGTCGTTATCGTCGCGTTAGTCATTTTCATTTCCATGTCGAGAGTCAGGAAATCGGTTTTATCCGGCCCCAGGAGCAGTCGGCGAATCTTGTCCCTCGAGTCGTCACTTTTTTTCTTAGGCAGTGCGACGTAGAGCTTCCTTGAACTTCAAGGGAGGACGAACCCTCGGTCTTAACTTCGCAAATCGCTGTGTACCCATGTCTTCTACGTTAGGCGTACGGATGTATATTGACCGTCGCAGAAAAAAAAAAAGGAAATGAAAGGAGCTACTTGAACTTGAATTTGAATTTCTAAGCGGTTTCCCTGTTAGGTAGTTCCCTGCATCCTCGTTTCTTTAAATACCTTTTAATATGCCGCCGGTAGTTTGAAATTCCCGCCGCGGGGTCGGACAAAATGGCCGACCGGTCGCCATCGGACGGTCATTTATCGGCGGGGAACTTGGCAGGGAAATTTCCAACCATCGACCGAGTTTACCAGTATTGTGACATAATCGGGCTTCACTGACAACTATCGCCCACCATCGTTAGTCGGTGTTTCGAGTGATCGCTCGATAGTCGCGTTTAACTAGTGGAGGACCATGGATCGCATACTGAAGGGCGTCATGAAGTACAGAAAGTGTCACAAGGAAGGGATGGTCAAGCAGTTCGAGCAAGTCAAACTGCACCTCGAGGTTCGTCATCGAGGTCATCATTCGCGTCGGTTATGTAGATGACCCGAAAAATCGAGGCATTATCTGATAACCTTCCCGTGTCACCCTCCACGTGCTCTCGTCGCGCATTCCCCGAATCGATAAGGCCGTCGACTTATCGAATTAAACCGTAGACTCCAGTCCACTCTATCAAAGGATGAATAATTCCTATCGATGTAGTTAATTTGTATTAATTCGATTGAATATTTCTGGGTCTGGGGCCGAAATTTTAGAGATTTCAATGACTGGGTGAATTTTATTGCCTTTCGAGTGTCGATTCTTCATTAACTCGATATGTAGGTTACGGGCTGTGCAATATTTACTACGACTACTTCGCATATGGAAGTGCGAGGCTAAAAGGGTTTTTACCAGTGTAGGTCAGACGAACGTAAAAGAGTTCCAAGTAGGAAAACTTGAGATATGAGGCGTTAGTTCTCCGTTTCGCCGTAGAGTCGCGCCACGAGTCATATTCTCCGAGTCGATAAGGCCATCGATTTATCGAATTAAACTGCAGACCCCAGTCCACTCTATCAAAGGATGGATAATTCCTATCAGATATATAAATATAGAGATATAAGACATAATATAGCATAAAAGAGTTCCAAGTAGGAAAATCTGAGATCTCAGTTGTTAGTTATCCGTTTCGCCGTAGAGTCGCGCCAGGAGTTTAGGGCGAAGAAGTACCTCCGCGCGCAAAGCCGCCATCTTGGAATTTCTCTAACTACTAACGCCTCCGTTATCAATTGCCCTTAAACGCTTCAAATGACTAAAGACGATCCATCCGAGAGATCATTAAAAAGCCGACGAGATCGCGCCATTTTTGTTAGATTATTTCGCACAGAGTCCAAAGGCGCTTTCAGCCTCCGCGAACAAAGTGCAGCTTTTAACGACCCACGCTGTGTATTACTTAATTCAACGTTTTTTATCTCGCTTTAAAGCGCTAACCAAAAAGCAAGAATTAACATGGTGTTGTTTTCTTTTATCTTTTACCGCAGCCGAAGGCAGTGTTCTTTACCTGCATGGACTCAAGGATGATTCCGACTAGATTTACGGAAACAAACGTTGGGGACATGTTTGTTGGTACGAGAATCCAATTCGGCTTTATTATTCGCGGCTGATTGTTTATTCACTCCGAAATCAAACGATGTTGTAATGATTCGAGGGGCTCTGAGGTACATACACACCTTCGATCGTACCTCTCTCCAATGCCGCTCTAATTTCTCGGGGATTCTCTTTTATTCAGTGAGGAACGCCGGCAATATTGTTCCGCACTCCCAACATTTCGCAGACGAGCTCACGATGTGCGAACCTGCGGCCCTGGAATTGGGATGCGTTGTTAATAACATAAAGCACATCATAGTCTGCGGACACAGCGACTGCAAAGCCATGAATTTACTTTACGCCTTGCGGGATCAAGAATTCTCATCCCAGGTAAAAGAAAAGATAAAGAAATCACACCCAGAAGGAATTTACTTTTCCGTTTAAAGAAATTTTTCCTTTGAGCTTTGATGTTAAACTGGTATTTCATGGAAATAAATATTGTCCAGGGGAATTAATTTCTTCCAGACAATATTTTTCTATCAGGTAAAATCGTTTTGAGTAATGTGCGACGTCCATTGTCTCTCGCGCGAGTAAAGAAACGGAACTTCGAGTTATTGGCGAAACGCTAGTATCGTTTTTTGTTTTTGTTTTTGTTTTTTTAACGTTTATGCGTGATTTAAGGCAAATCGAAGAATATCACCTCTAAGGGCATGGTTATGCGCTCACGCCAGCAGTAGTTTGGCCAAATTTCAACAACTCCAAGAAAAGGGTTTCCAGGAGCCGACGCTTTTCCAAGCGGAGACACCGCTGCGGAAATTCGTCGCCTACATCGACCCGGAAGACAAGTATCCCGTTGAGGACAAACTTTCACAAGTAAGGCGACATGCCCTGAAAGGAAAAAAAAAACAGAAAAAAAGAAACACGAATGTACACTAAACCTGAGAAATATTCCATCGAATAGTACCGAAGAAATATTCCTAGAATATTGATATGACTGAAATTAAATCCAATAAATTGGATGCGACGTTTCTTCGGAATGGCGGCGACTTATTTAAGCCATTATATATTTTTTATTTAATGAAGAATGTGTATCTATGGTACTGCTCAATGAAATACTTCTTAGGTTCGATGAATTCTTTTTCTTAATCCTTTTTGCGGAGCCGCCATTTCCTCTTTGATAACAGGACATGTGGTGTAATCTCTCGTTTCAGATAAACACCCTGCAACAACTGCAGAACGTCGCTTCGTATGGCTTTCTGAAGAAGAGGCTAGAGAGGCACGAGTTGCATATTCATGCTCTTTGGTTCGACATTCTCACCGGGGAAATTCACTACTTCAGTCGCGCTAACAAAAGATTTATAGAGATCAACGAGAGGACGGAAGCCTCTTTACTGGAAGAGATACACAAGTACTACTCCTAGTGTTTTCTCTTTAGCGTCTATTCACTTAAGCCTGGGTTTTATTTAATCGTGCGTTCCCGATGGAGGGGACCGTCGAAGAAGGACGTCGATGGCGGCCATCTTGGCCTCGGCTAAATTCGGACCGAAATCCGGGTCCTTTAATTCCTTTTACTCGGATATTCGAACCTAGGTAGAGAGATTTTCGATTCACATTGTACCTGGTGCTGTACGCATATTTTTCTACACGTTTTTTGAAAGGAAGAACGTCCCCTTCCTCCGAATTTCAGAGCCCAATTATTCCATGACAAGGTCTCGAAAGTCTAAGGACGATACACATAAGTTATAGTCAATAATAAAGGTTCAATATGTAGCTCTGTACGCGCAACGAACAAATTGTGAATCAATATTGTATTTGTACACGGGATTTATGTCTGTAACACGCAGCGGCGATCTTCCTATGGAAAGTGTAAAGGCCCTGCGTTGAGAAAGAAAAAAAAGAAATTAGTTGACCCGAAGAAACATATTGTTGTCTGGATCGTGTATAATTGCGAGAAGCCATGATTTCGTTGAAAAGAAACATTCACGTTGATCTAAAGAGATTTTTAATCACTCAATCTGAGAGTTCTTTGGACGTTGTTCATCGCAGGATTTTGTTGCCGCGATGCAAATGATTTCTTTGAGTCGACCAGTCTTTTTCTTTCTTTTTTTTCTCTCTCTCTCGGGGATAATGCTTAGAGGAACTGGAGACCTTTCCCAAAGGAGGTTTGCGACGCAATTTCAGGTGAGGACTTTTAATGATCGCCGGCTCAGGTAGATACATGCTCACTCGTTCGAGGGAGTGCGAGCGAACTAGAGCATGCCACTCCCGAAAGAGAAAGCAAAACAAAGCGAACGGCTCGTCGGTTCCAGCGGGCTTCGAGGCGAGGAAACGCGCGAAAAATGCCGGCCTAACTCTTCCCCGTTTCCCAGCAAAAGCGAAAACCTCTCGAATCTGCGCATCTTCGTGCTTTTTATCCCAATTAAATCAAACCTTGCGCCGCTGCGTTGATTTTTCCGGATATTACCTCGGAAACGTCCGAGTGGAACTTTGTCTTCGACGGGAAAGAAAGATGGCGGGTGGTCCCGTGTCGATCGTGATGATTTTTCCCGACTTTTCCTCGGAAACGTTCCAGTGGAACTTTTCAACTCCTCGGTGCGATGATTTTTTCCAATTTTTCCTCGGAAACATCCGAGTGGAACTTTGTCTTCGAACGGAAAAGCAAAATGGCGGGTGGTCCCGCGTCTAACGCGATGATTTTTCTTGATTTCTTTCTCGGAAACGTCCGAGTGGAACTTTGTCTTCGAACGGAAAAGCAAAATGGCGGGTGGTCCCGCGTCCACCGCGAGTCGTCTCGCTTCTCCGACTTTGGAGAAGGTGGGATTTAATTAGTGCGGGGGATCGGAGGAGAGAAAAATGGATTTCACTGGGAACGGGATCCATCGGGCTCGGCACGCTCGCGGTCACGGGTGCGCAGGGGATTTCTCCTGGGCCCGAGTAAAACGAATCGACGTCGGGTTGCGTCGTTCACTTTCGTTTGAAATCGGCGCGTTCCGGCGCGCCGACCAAACGGGAATTGGAACAAGACGGGAGGAGGATTTGGGTCGCGAGTTTCGGCCGCTAGAGGGAGGTGGCGCTCGCAGCGCCGTTTAACGACTCTAAACGCCGCTCTATACGTGCCCGCTAAATGAAAGTAGGATTTTTCTTTCGTTTCTTGCCGGACGAGTCACCGGCTCGTAGCTGGCCCACTTCGAGTCGTTCTAAAACCGTTTCGCCCACTTTTCGTGGAAGGGCTTTTTCAGGACTTGCCACAACACTAAGTACTCCTTCAATGCTTGGAATTGAAATCCCGAGGAAAAATCCCCGAAGATCTATGGAATCGCATTCTTGTCTGTCATATGAGATCAAACTCACTCGCTTCTAAAAGAAAAAAAAAGAAAATCATTTTCGCTTCCAAAACGTCTCCTGGGTATTTCGAGAAAGCATTTTGGATGTATGACCCTTGGCAGAACCGCATTGGATTTTTCTCATTCGGAGGCGCCTTGAAATACGGTTATGGCGCTTTTCCTCCGGCATCCAAACGGCCTGCGGATTAATTAATTAACTGCACATTAATTAGAGGCTTACGGCTAATAAAGCGCTCGGGAAGAAAGTTGATATACATTATGAAAGGAGCCGTTTCGGTGTAGAAAGTACGCGGTAGCGGAGTCTAGTGACTCGAATATTGGACAATAACTCGAACGACGTCGACCGTAACCCCGAAAATTGGCATGTCGTAACCCGGTGTACTCAGGTGAATGTACCGAGTACGGCTCTCATGAGTCTCATGAGTGAAGTACGCAGAAGCCAAGGCTGTATCAGAATTCGAGCCGAAAACTATTCCGAAGGACTTCAGGTTCAAGGTTTACGACCGAGCTAAACAGCGATTTCAACGCCCGATGAGAAAGAGTCGTTTTGGGGAGATGAATCGAAGGTCTCCCGTTAAACCGTCCAAACCCTTAATTTCCGAAAAAATGAGCATCTCCAAAAAACTCCCCAACAGGCTTGTAACCTCGATCATTGGGTGCGTTAAATAGAGGGAAGAAGGAAATGCGCAATAAAATGAGATCGTTCCCTTTTGGTAGCGGAAGTTTCCAATTTCGATCGCCGTTTATTTGGGGTACTTAAGTGGGGGTGAGGAATGACGCGTGGCGTCGGAATATACCCAGAAAAAAGAAATTCATCCGTTCAGAGAAATATTTCTTCTTAGTACCAATGAGATATCTGGTTAAAAGAATTCGACTCGAATAAATTGTCATAAATCAGAATGAATGTTGCAACGAAATTATTTAAGTTTGTACGTGTCGAATAATTACTCTTTGAATTAACAGGGCATTTCTTTGATACTGTTTAAAGGGATATTTCTTTGGTTCAATGGCAGTTTTTTGTTTATATGAGGGTAGAAATATCGGAAAAGAATATTCGTTGGGTCGAGGTAGGAGATGAGACACTTGTCGAGGGCGGCGGAAAGGATCGTCTCTTTTCTTTCGGGAAATTCCGGTTGAACGTCAAGTCTTACCCGATACCGCAGTCCAGGTGAATTATGGCGGGATTAGGCTCGGTTGCGAAATTCTGGACTCGCACCGCAAGGTAAGGTCCTCGGTTTTCCGGGACTACTTTACCTGGACGTAAACAATGGCCGACGCAACCACCTCGGGTGCCCAGTTGTGGCCAAAAGTCGAGCTTTACCCCGGCCACGATTCGCAGGAAGGAAAGGAGACCTTTATTCTAAAGGCCCAGGGTGGGGAAAAATGAAAGGAAGAGTCCTTAAAATGGTCTTCCCTCATCCCTTCAGAAGGACCAAGATACCAAAAATCTGGTTCAGCAAATTTCGTCGCGCATCTCGATGTCCAGCATTGAAATCCCCGACTTCCTAAGGTAAATAACCTTTATTCGAAAGGTCCAGGGTGGGAAAGGATGAAAGGGAGAGTCCTTCGAATGGTCTTCCCTCATCCCTTCAGAAAGACCAAGATACCAAAAATCTGGTTCAGCAAATTTCGTCGCGCATCTCGATATCCAGCATTGAAATCCCCGACTTCCTAAGGTGAATAACCAATATTCGAAATGCCCAAGGTGTGAAAGGATGAAAAGAAGAGTCCTTCGAATGGTCTTCCCTCATTCCTTCAGAAGGACCAAGATACCAAAAATCTGGTTCAGCAAATTTGGTCGCGCATCTCATATCCAGCATTGAAATCCCCGACTTCCTGAGGTAAATAACCTTTATTCGAAAGGCCCAGGGTGGGAAAGGATGAAAGGGAGAGTCCTTCGAATGGTCTTCCCTCATCCCTTCAGAAAGACCAAGATACCAAAAATCTGGCTCGGCAAATTTGGTTGCGCATCTTATGCCCAGCATTGAAATCCCCGACTTCCTGAGGTGAATAACCTTTATTCGAAATGCCTAGGGTGGGAAAGAATGAAAGGAAGAGTCCTTCGAATGGTCTTCCCTCATTCCTTCAGAAGGACCAAGATACCAAAAATCTGGCTCGGCAAATTTGGCCGCGCATCTCATGTCCAGCATTGAAATCCCCAACTTCCTCAGGTGAATAACTCGCCGGGCACGCAATTAGTATAACATTACCAATCGAGAGACTGCCGAAAGAACCGAGAGAAGCAAATTTGAAAACCTCTTAAAGGGATAGAGGTTTCGGTAAAGTTTAACCGTAGCGAAACGATAATGCCAATGGCTACAATCGAGTTATGGTTGGACACACATGAGTGCACGCCGGTACTCTTTTTCCTCCAGGATAGCGCAAAGCAGGGAAAAAAAGGTCGCGCGAAATCGTGACGTCGACCCATTACCGAACGTTGCATCTAATTCCGACCCCGAGGGCATTTTCGAGTTTTCCTGGTTAACTTTAATCCCCCGAGCCTCAAAATTCTAGATTATTCATGCCGCAGAGATATATCAGTCGGCGCCAAGTAGAACCGACACGAACCGTTCTCGTTACCGAGGAAAGTTCCCCGCGGGTTAAATTCGGCTTAGGAAATTTGGAATTCGAGTTCCGTTAGCAAAGTCGGGGACGAGGAGGAGATTTCCCGGGGAGAAAACTCGCTTTGAGGGTATCGGTAACGGGGAATCGTGGAAAATCCCGAAATTCCGGACGTTTCCGTTACCCCCATTATGGTATGGTAATTCCGACTCGTTCGATTTGAGTAGAGAAAAAAAATGGCCATTGAGCAACCGAGATAGTTGCAACCATTTTTTTCCTATACCCGGACATGATGGCAGAGGACAATTTTGGCTAAACGCCAAACTCAATTTTCAGTAAAGGAAGAATTCCTCCGGTGAAGTATGATGCATTCGAGTGGTGACTCGCACTCATTCAATTAAAGGAAAAAAAAAATTGCCATTGAGCAACCGGGATAGTTGCGCCTCATTTTATCCTATATCCGGGCTTGGTAGTGGAGGACAATTTTGGCTAAACACCAAACTCAATTTTAAGTAAAGGAAGAATTCCTCCGGTGAAGTATGATGCATTCGAGTGGTGACTCGCACTCATTCAATTAAAGGAAAAAAAAATTGCCATTGAGCAACCGGGATAGTTGCGCCTCATTTTATCCTGTAGCCGTGCATGGGAGTAGAAGACGGTTTTGAATAATGGGAGAATTCTTCCGGACAGTTTATGGAATTAAAATATCCAAAGTGGTCCCAAAAGAAGTATTCGGCGTTGCCTCAGCCCGTCTGCGGGCGCACGGTTATCGGTGCCCGATTATTGGGCAAGCGGTATCTGCTCGACGGTGTGTCGAATGTCCTCTCCGCCGCCTATTTTTGCCTCGGACTTACAGAATAGACCCGCCGTAATTAATGTTGCAACCCGATGCGGTGCAACGAACTCGCGGCCGCGCTTAGGACACCGTGCTTAGGTGCGAGGCGAGCCGACCGATTTGTCGGATCGCTCGAAGTGGCCGGGCATTACGTGCCCGAGCATACGTGCCGATTCGGCCGCGATCGTCTTTCGAAATAAAGAAACGAGGAGGAGCCCGACTTCCGTACTTCCGGAAATTCAGGTGGCGGCATTCGGATCCGCGCTTTCTCTTAACGGTACGTCTAGGAGGAGCGCATGCGCGGGTGCGTGCCCCTGTTAATTTTCGTATCACAATTTTATACAATCTCCGGTGTAACCTTTATTCCCATAGTGTATCTTGTACCGGGTTATCAGAGGGATTTATATCACATGTAAGCAATCTATGACACTGGAGTACTCGATTTTGCACGTTGCTTTTTTCCGAAAATTTGACACTTGTCCTGGACATGTTTGAGTACGCGTTTGTAGGCAACCCTGCTTTAAATGTTGGATTAAACGTCTCGAATAAATGTCTTGAGTAAATCGACGCGGTGATAGGGTAGAATCCAGGCGTCGTTAACAATGGTCCGATAGGGTTTAAGGCAGGACGCGAGGTGTCTCCCCTTGCGCGAAGCGTCGCTCGAAATTAGCCCCCTTTGTGTGGCCTTTCTTCTCGGTATGGGCTCTCTATCCTGATAAATAGCGCCGAGCGAGAGGGCAAGTACGCTCGCAAGTACGACGGGTTATACAATCCGGGGAAAAATCATCGTTATCTCGTAGTCGCACCTCCTCGGCCGGATCGCCGTTCGCCTAACTCGGCCGCTCCCCGCGCGGCGTCGCCACCTCCGCCGGCTCGGTCAACGAATCGCGACTGGCGCAATGGCCACGACACCGTCCAAGTTATGTAAAATTCCTGCAAAACTGCGAGACCGAGGGCAAAAAAGCCCAACAATCCCGTGGCCCGAGTCGAGCCGGACGGCGACGCCCGATCCGTCGGACGAAAATACCAAAAACCACACCGCGGCTCGCGTTAAGTTAGGTTAGCTCGAGCGTTCATCCCGAAAACGTCATCGGTCTTCGAAGACGATTCAACGGGGAATCCTCGTTTATAGCGATAATTCAACGGTTAGGACGAGATTTAGACGATGTAACTTGTAATTAGTAGTCCTTACGAGTCGCTGCTTCCTTTTGACGATTTACGTAATACCAAAAATCCCACCGCGGGTCGCGTTAAGTTAGGTCGAGCGTTCATCCCGAAAACGTCATCGGTCTTCGAAGACGATTCAACGGGGAATCCTCGTTTATAGCGATAATTCGAGGGTTAGGACGAGATTTGGACGATGTAACTTGTAATTAGTAGTCCTTGCGCTCCTTCCTTTTGACGATTTTAATCCTTTTAAGCGGATAGAGATGCGGATTCGCGCATATTGACGCGTTTTCATAGACACTTCCATCTTGGCACCTGGATGGAGCGGAACCGGAGGTGGCGGGACGCTTACGTACGCTAAGTGCGTACGCGCCAGCGCGCAAACCGCATACACGTACGCGTACGTGCGTACAAGTTCAAGAACAATGAACGTCACGATCTATAATGTACGATTTTGCCAAGCGGCGCGGCTCATTGTGGCGGCGCTGTGCCACTGACCCACAAACACACTTACCTATCTATGTTACACTACTGCCGCGGTTCGCCTCGGCGCATGCGCTATGCCGTGCCTCGGTACCGTCTGCACGCTGCTCGAAGAATCCACGAACTGTGCATACGCTATGCGCTTTTCTGGACTTTGACGAAGAGTTTTGCCGACGTCGAAGAGTCCTTACGGTCTAAATACGAGGTTTGGTAAATAAGGAAAGAATTAGTAAAACCGCTGCAAATTTAAACCCAGTAAGACTAGCTCGCAACATTGCAATCTACTCGCCCTAGTAATTGCAAACCTTTAAAATTGGACCGGGAAAATTATTTGGCTGGTTTTTCCTGCTAATAAAGAGGAATTACTGTGATTAAATAGGTGATCAGCTGGGCGCGGGGAAACAAATGAATTTTATATGGGGAATTTTATGTTGGGAGGCGATCCATCATCCGTGGTTGGATGTGTTGTCGTTTCCGGCTAAACGGGAAATTTCCTTCCTGGGTTAGCGCGACATAATTTGCTCTCGGATAACGTAATGGTGCGGATAGAGTACTTACGAAGATCGAGGACTGTTTTCAGGAGTTTGTTGAAAACCCCATGCAGAGATGGGTTTTCCGGCAGGGCCTTCACACGCCGTGGCAAACAATTAACGGAACGGAACCGTTAAATCCTGCCGATATACCGGCTCGACTTTACGGAACGAGCAGCTTCCCGTAGGAAACATAACGGGCCGGCAAGGCGCCGGAATAATGGCTGAAAATGTGAAGAACAGGAGGAATGAGTCGCGCCTCCGTGAGTTACTCTCCATCTCGATCGGCCCACTTGGGAAACAGGACAAAACTGGCCCGCT